GCATGTCTTTCATATCAGATGCGTTTTGCTCTATTGCTACTTGCACCCTGGCCATCACCTCCGGTTGGGTCCTGATTAGCGTCGCGCGCTCATCGTCATGTTGCGACTGTTCCACCCAGAAAACGTTCTCCTCTTCTTCGTCTACGAAGTCTCGGTCGCGTTCGAGGCGGGTATTGCTTCATCGGACTGAGGCTCGCGCTCCAGGCTCGGGATGGTCTTCCGAAATGTGCTCGTCGCTCTGGTTGTCGTCTAGGTTGATCACCGGGAGTGACTTATCGGCGGCGGGTGAGTCTGCGGTTGCGTTAGGTTCGGTAGTGGAGGGATGGATTGGTGGCAAGCCACGGATCCTCTGTTCGCCGGTTGGTGTTAAAAAGTTTAACACCGTTGGATCGAGGCATCCAGTAGATCTCTTGGCCAGGACCGACCCTCTTCCTCGTGCTCGGCTCGCCATGGCCCTTCACTCGTTGTCTGCGGCTCCGTTCCGCGCATCTTGCTGTGTCGACTTCTTCATCAGCGTCTCCAACATCGTTTGTATCTGGGTGATGAACTCTGGTGTTGCCCCCATCGTCCCAGCGGCTTGTCTTACTCCAGGGTTGTCGGCACGGTCTTTCTTGGTGCCCGTCTTGCACGCGCCGGTTTTTTCGGCACTGTTGTTATATGCTCCGGAGTCGTAAGCGTTGGTCTTGTTGGCCCCACTGCTCTCCGCCTCCGTGTTCTTGTCTCCGGGTTGGTCTTGGCTGGGGATCTCGACCTCGTCGCTGGTGGTCATCCTTGCTAGATCCGCTATCATATGATTCTTTTTGTGTAAGAGAGTCTTAATGTCCCCTTAGACGGCGCCAAATTGTGGAGGTCGAAACCAACACAATTAGATTTGTCAAGGGTTTTTAAGGGAAACAAGATCTCTGGAAAGAATCACAAGAACAGTCAAGAACAAAGTTAGAAAACACGAAAATTGCGTTAAGAAACCTTTATTGATTTTTGCTAAGTGTTTGTGTGCAAAGTTACGGATCTCCTCTTTCGAGGAATTACAAGAGTATTTATATAAGTCTAAGTCAGCTAGGTCTAACAAATAAGTATAAGGAAGTTTTTCATATTCCTCGGGATTTTCCATTTCTCATAGTCGGCGCTTACCATGGGCTT